CATCCATTGGCTGGGTGTACAGCTCCCTCTGCTGGTGGCCATGAAGAATAAGGTTGGCTATTCAAACCCAACAGAATGACTGCCTCACCCAGCCAGACTACTGTCCTTTAACTGAAAATCTGTGTACAGAGATGTTCAGGAGGCTGGACACCAGTGCACTCCCTGGAGATTCTTTGCTCTATCTATTCTAGGAATATTAATGCCGAGTTAGGGCAGGAGTCTTCCCAAAGCTAGAGTGGGAAGCTAGCTGTAGAAGTCTACAGCTTCTCCCTGGAGCATCAGATGCCTACTTACTCTTGTCTACATTCTGAGGGGCTGATCCTACCCAAGGCAACACTAGGCAAGTTTTGTAAGTGGCAAGTTCGTGAGTAAAGGACTTTTCGATGGTGTCACTTTGGATTTAAAACCCACCTTTCCAATCTAAGTAGAGACCTGCAGTTGTACAGCATCTAATGTGGAAGTTCTCCACCCTGGCTGCAACTAGAATCACCTGTGAGCTGGGTACCAGACAGTCTGATTTAAAGGGTGGATCCCGGGACTTAAAATTTGTTTTTCAAAGCTTCCTGCTGATTCTACAAGCCAGGTTCAGAAACTATCACTCCAGTGCCATCTGCTGGAAGAAGACCCTGGCGAGGCTGCTGCTCTGTAGGCTAATGTTGTGCTTTAAAAGTTCTTGAATTTGTAGGTAGAGGAATTTCTTTACATTGGATAGAGATGAGATGAGAAAGGCTCTGAGAAGGCATGTTTTTTTAATTTTTAATTTTGAAAAATAAGAATTGCAAGAATGGTAGAAAGAATTCCCATATACCCGTCTCCAAATTCACCAGTTGTTAGCAATTCGCCACATCTGGCGAATTCCCATATACCCGTCTCCAAATTCACCAGTTGTTAGCATTTCGCCACATCTGGCTTTATTAATTTCCCTTCCACCCAGCCATTTGAGATTAAGTTGCAGTCAGCCCTTTACCCGTATTTCCTAAGAATGAGGACATTCTCTTACATAAGTGCAGTACAGTGATCAAATTCAGGAAATTCTGTATTGACACAAGACTATTATATAGGCAATATTCAATTTTAGCTAGTTATCTCAATAATGTCCTTTATGGCAATTCTCCCCACCCCCGACTGGCCCACCTAC